GGGCACAGGCAGCAATCAGCAAGGCAGGCCACCAGCAGTCAGCCATATGAGAGGGTCTGACAGTCTCCAGCTCAAGAGATGTAAATTCCAATGGTGTGGAGAAGCAGGCCTTGAAGGAATCTCAAATTACAGTGACACAGTCCATGGGTTAGGTGTCACACAGGTAGTGTAGCTTGCAAATTGAACCAAAGAACAAGCAAGGCAGCTGCACACTGGTCTAATGATCAAAGAGCAAGAGACAAAAAAGGCTAGGCTTGCCGAGCCATTTATCTCTCTGCCCTTCAAGTAATCCCACATGTGTTTATCAGCCACACTGGCACAATAAACCAACTACCACAATCCACCCCTTGTCAACTTGACACTTGTACACAATTCTTTAGCTGTATATAATTTCCAGACATTAATGAAATCACACTTATAGTTATCAAGTATTTATCATATATATAAATGAAAACACACTGTGTCCAATTGTATCTGATATATCATATATGAACAAAGGAAAGATATTCCAAAAAATGTCCCATTGGGCCTTTATATTAATGACATTATGCTGATTGGTCCCCATGGTGGTAGAGGGCAGGTGTCAGCACTGAATCAACAGAGACAGGTTGGGTGTGGTTATAATAGACAACAAGGTTTCTGTAGTAATCAAAGCAACCTGTCTCATGTGGAATTATGTCATTGGCTACATAGCCACGGTGTCCTTAGGAATGAAATAGTTGGGAAACCTACTAAATATTTATGTGATCTATACAGGCCGAAGAATGGTAGATCAGGTGAAAAGCAGAATAGATAATCACGATCACTCAATCAATTCCCAGAGGCACAACACCTTGAATGAGGGGAAGGCCGGGTACCTTTGAAGGAGGGCCCTGCTATATCAGCAAAGCTTTATACTGTTAGTCTTTCTTCTAGCCTTCCCCAAAGGGACCTTCAGCCTTTCACAAGAGTGACTGTTCATTGGGGAAAAGGAAATAATCAAACTTTTCGGAGATTACTGGACTTTGGCTCTGAACTGACACTAATTCCAGGAGAATCAACGTGATTCAGAGGCACACCAGTCAGAGTGGTGGCTTATGGAGGTCAAACTATCGATGGATTTTCAGCTCAGGTATGCCTCACTGTGGGTCCAGTGGACCCCAGGATCCATCCTGTGGTTATTTCCCCAATTCCAGAATGCATCACGGAAAAGACATACTTAGTAACTGCCAGAACCCCCATATTGGAACCCTGAAATGTGGAATAAGGGCTATCATGGTAGGAAAGGCCAAGTGTACACCGTTAGAACTGCCATTGCCTAGGAAAATAGTAAAGAAAAAGCAGTACCACATTCCTGGAGGGATTTCAGAAATCAGTGCCACCATCAAAGACTTGAAAGAGACAGGGGTGGTGATTCCTACCACATCCCTGTTTAACTCCCCTATTTGGCCTGTACAGGAGACAGATCCTGGAGAATTACAGTGGATTATCATAAACTTAACCAGGTGGTGACTCTAATAGCAGCTGCCATTCCAAATGTGATTTCATTGCTTGAGCCAATTAGTACTTCTCCTGGTACTTGGTATACAGCTATTAATCTGGCTAATGCCTTCTTCTCAATACCAGTCTCGGGACACCTGGCAAGAGCAACAATACATTTTTACAACTCTCCCACAGGGGTACATCAACTCTTCTCTGTGCCATAAATTAACATGGAGGGTGCTATTTATCAGAATATCTGAATGGAGTGAAAAGTGAAGTAAATGAATGGGAAAATAGTTTCTCATTAAAGATAAAGAGCTAATATATCTAATATAAATTAAATTATTAATTATCTAAGAATAAAGGTACATAATTCAGAAGAAACTGGATCAAGTGATACCTGAAGATGCTTTATAAAAGAGCAAATCCATATACTTATAAAAATATGCCTCACCCACATAACCAGAAATACCCAAATTGAAAATACAATGATATATTCTACCACAAATTAAGGACTACAAAGTGTACGGTATGATGATACTGAGTGGCTGTCAAAAACTGAAACATAACATCGAAATTTTCAAGCATAGCTATTGTTGTTTCTGTTAAGTGCCATTGAGTCATGTCCAACACACAACAACCTTATGCACAGCAGA